GTGGATGATCACTTGAACATGAGCCAGCAGCGTGCAGCAGCAGCCAAAAAAGCTAATACAATCCTAGGGTGTATAAGCAAGCATAGAATCCAGATCAGGTGAAGTACTAGTACCACTTTATAAAACCCTAATAAGACCACACCTGGAATACTGCAACCAATTTTGGTCACCATACTACACACACAAAAATTGAGACTTTGGAAAAAGGTCAGAGGGGAGCAACTAAGATGATGAAAGGTCTGGAGACTAAAACATATGAAGAACAGCTGCAGGATTTGGATTTGGCTACTCTAAAGAAAAAAAGAATTAGGGGTGACATGATAGTATTCCAGAATTTTAGGGCCTGCCACAAGGAAGAGGAGGTCAAATTATTCTCCAAAGCTCCAGATGTTTGGACAAGAAACAATGGTTGGAAACTAATGAAAGAGAGAAGCAACCTGGAATTAAGGAGAAACTTCCTAACTTCCTAATTAACCAGTGGAGCAGCTTGCCTCCAGAAATCATGAGTGTTCCATCACTGAATGTTTTAAAGAAGAGTCTATACAGTCACTTATCTAAAATGGTATAGATTCTCCTGCTTAAGCAGGAGGTTGGACTAGAAGACCTCCAAGGTCCCTTCCAACTCATTCTATTCTAAGAAGATCTTAAGATACACAATCAAACTGTGATTAAAGATTTTGATGGAATCCACATAGCCTCTGTTAGGGACATTCTATAATTAGAATAGAGTGATGAGGATTTTTTCACCTGGCATAACAAAATAATACATTTCCCACTATAAGTTAACAGCAATTATTTGACAAACTTACTTAGCATATTCAGGTAAAATCACTCCCACATATGCCAATACTGAAAAAATTCTAAAATCATCTGAGAAGCATATAAATTTAATAAATTACGACCATCATTATCATTAGGGGTGGGATTCAGCCGGTTTGAACAGAACCGCTTGTTATGATTTTGCACAGTTTGGAGAACCGGCTAATCACGCTACTGGCTGGCCCCACCCCCTCCCCTTTCAGTCACTCTTCATTTCACCTGCCTGCCATTGCTGCCTGCCTTCGCTGACTGCCATTGCTGCCTGCCTTCTGCTGCGACCCTGATCTTCCTGGGTGAATGTGCTGAGCCTGCAAGCAAGTCTTGGTTGAGTTCCAACTCCAGGGCTGGCTGCCACCAGTGTCACCACCGCAAGCAAGCTCCAGTTGAGTCCCAACTCCCAGGCTGGCCTATCTACCGCTACCGCCCCCACAAGCAAGTTCCAGTTGAGTCCAACTTCCGGACTGGCCACCACCACTGCAAACAAGACCCGGTTGAATCCTGACTCCTGGGCCAGCCACCACCAGGCAAGCCCTAGTCGGGTCCCAGCCTATCTGCCTCTGCTGCCAGCCAACTTGCCTGCCTTCGCCTAATTTTTGGTAAGTTGCTCTTTTTTTTAATAAGCATTAAAAAGTCAATATTTACATGGTGTACAGTTGGGTACAGTTAATTTTGTGCCACCCAAATAATTGGTCTTTTATACTTTTAGTTTTCTAACTTCTGTTTCTGTTAGCCATTGATAAAACAAATCCCACATTAAGAAGTATTCAAAACCTTCTCCTTAATTTTAAGTGTTTTAATCTATTCATTTCTGCACGTTCTAATATTTTAATTACATTTTTAATATTTAATACATTCTAATATTTTTAATTACATAAGGATCTCTTTGTTTTTCCATTGTTGTACAAACATAATTCTAGCACTGTGTTAATTTGCATGTTGCTTTACCATTTTTTCTAACCATGACACTATTAACTCTTGAATAGCTACTTGACTTAAATACAAGCTGAGCCCAACAAGGAACCTAATTCATATATTCTTGTTTTTTAAACTGAGGAATAATTTTCAGAAAAAGAATTCAGTATTGCTCTGTGAATATACCTATGAATTTCATTCTTAATCTAATTTCTTATATGATTTTGTATTATATCTTTTTTTGTACTATATATATACCTGCATAAGGCTGTAAAAAGCTTCAGTACATTTTTAAGATGAAAAGTCTAAAAGCTTAGGCAACTAAACATGACTTCCTCTGGCTTCTCTCTCTCTCTCTGCTATAGAGACATTAGGGACTTGTTGGTCCAGGTAAGACTTGAGCTAATTTAAAGTAGTCTTGGCTAGGAAAGATTTCTGTGCCAATACTGGCACAAAATAACAAACTCCCTTAGTTTGTTAATTGTATTTCCATTTTAAGTGTTTATTTTTCAATTAATTAATTGTAATTATCAAAATATCAGCCTTTTTATATACAGTGTAACATCTTTTTTACAGACTGTCATTTTCAAATCCACTTTCAACTCAGTCTCAGTCTTGGCCACTTTTTTCAACAAGAAAACAAGATTGGAAACAGGATTGGAAGATCCAGAAGAGTCACAACTACAACCACTCCAACTTGGGGAAAGCAGCACATCAACTACTGAAAGAATTGACAACTCGGACTTGAAAATATCTTCCTGACTGCTACCAACTTTAAGGAGAAATATGATGAACTAGAAGTTTTTAAAAAATTAGGTTGCAAGTATTGCAAAAAAAATTGAGATTACCCCCCAAAAAGTGTTGACATAGCAAAGGTATGGAAACATTTCCAAATTGAGGCAGTAGAGAAAAGGATGCAACAAGCGTCTCTTAGAAAAAAATGAAAGAGCATTTCTCATCTAAAACTCACAACTTTTGCACAGAGAAGTTAAAGCAATGTGAACAGGATGTAATAACTAAAGGATTAGACAAGATGACTGAAAAATATTTAGGTACTATTTGTAGAGTATTCAATATAGTTTAAGACCTAGCACAAAGATCTCTAAACCATTTCCTGACATAGAAATGCAAAATAAAAATGGAGTAGATCTGGGAATAGGATTGCATTCACATAAAACTGCAGTAAAAATAATTGATTTCATTGCAAAAGACATTAGAAAATATTTACTAAAATTATTGGGGGGGGAGGAAAACTGAAAATATGTTTAATTATTGACAAAGCCTCAATGATATCTTGCACACCAGTTCTTACACTTCACTTAAAAGTTGAGAATTCAGTTACCTCACTAACGATTTTTGTTGAGCTTGTGGAATTAGAAAAACAAGATGCAGAGACAATGTGTCTTCAGTTATGGAAAGTTTAAATAATGTTGCATTTTCTAAGAACTACCTAGAACAAAATTTAATAGGATTTTGCTCCGATGGTGCCAGTGTTATGCTTGGGAGAAAATCTGGAGTGACACTAGAATAGCAAAAGAGTTTCCAAGCACTGCTTAAACCATCGTCTCCAACTTGTTTTAGAAGTTTCTATTAAGGAAATAAAGCAAGTAAATAATTTAAAAATATTTATTGATGAGATATATGCTTCATCAATCCAGTAAGAACCAAACTGAACTTAACAAAATATCCAAACAACTTGAAATTGAAATTATAAAGGTTGGTAGAGTTTTTGGACCAAGATGTAGCCTGTAGTTTAAGGTCAACCCTAGCTGTGTGGTGTGCTTATAGAATTATTTATTCTTTATTGGCCAAGTGTGATTGGACACACAAGGAATTTGTCTTGGTGCATATGCTCTCAGTGTACATAAAAGATACATTCGTTAAGAGACAAGAATCATAAAGTACAATTTAATAATAATCATAGGGTACAATAAGCTATCGAATCATACAAGGAAACAATCAATATAAATAGTAAGGATACAAGCAACAAAGTTACAGTCATACAGTCACAAGTGGGAGGGGATGGGTGTTAGAAGTGATGAGAAGATTGATAGTAATAGTAAGGCAGACTTTGTAAATAGTTGGACAGTGTTGAGGGAATTATTTGTTTAGCAGAGTGATGGCGCTCAGAAAAAAACTGCCCTTGTGTCTAGTTGTTCTGGTGTGCAGTGCTCTATAGTGTCATTTTGAGGTTAGGAGTTGAAACAGTTTATATCCAGGATGTGTGGGGTCTGTAGATATTTTCACAGCCCTCTTTTTGACTCGTGCATTATACAGTCTGTTCTGTATTAACATATCCAAAAGGTAAATTCTGATTGGTCTGCACAAACTGCATTCTGATTGGCTGACTCAACAACTGTGATTGGCTTACTTAGAATCAACCGCAATTGGCCGAGCCGATTGCGGGAGATTCAAAGTACTGTCATTGGCCAGCGAGCCATGAGCAGTCCCTATATGAAGGGCTGCCGTGGCTCCAAGATCTTGTACAGATCTTAACATAAAATAAAGAGCTTGAAGTGCACTGGTCTCGTGTCTCCTTTGTACCCGATCTAACACTGGCGACGAAGGTGGGATCGTGAGACAAAGAGACCAACAGAGCACGTGGTGAACCAATGCCGAAATCCCGACAAGATGGCCGGCAGCAACTCACCACCCTCACCCTTCAACCAGGCTGCCGAGGACTGGGAATCATACATTGACCGATTCCTAATGTTCTTTGAGAGCAGCAGTCTAAAGGTTGCCAATGGACAGAAGAAGAGGGCGTTGTTCCTGATGCACTGTGGGCCCACAGTGTTCAAGATGGCCAAAGCCCTAGCCAAACCCGCAGACGTGAAAGAGATGGACTGGCCCGACCTCGACCAGCTGCTGCAAAGCCACTACGCCCCCACCGTGCCCAACCTCATCAGATGGCATGAGTTTTATCGGAGGGATCAGAAGGAGGGCGAGAGCATCAGTGACTTCGTGGCCACACTCAGGGACCTCGGGGCATGTGCGGGTTCACCGACATGGACGGTGGGACCCATCCTCCCCATCCTCCTTGATGGCAAGGGCAGACATCTCAGTCACTGAGGCCATCACCGAAGCAATGGCAGCTGAAGCAACGGCAGCCGAAGCCACCAAGCAATCCGCGGCCTGGATGCAGTAGATGAACGCAGCAGACCGACCCACGACCACGGAAACTGCACCAACCCCGGAAGGATATCTGGAGGCCAGCCACAAGACCACCACCACACACCACGGGGACCTCGACTCCTTCTCCGACACCGAGGATGAGGAGGAGGAGATCCACCAACTGCAGGTGGAATGAGACCAGCAGGAATGGTGAGGCCGTAAGTCGGGGTTCCAGTGCACCGGGTGTGGGGGCAATCATTCTCACTCAGAGTGCCAATTCCTTGATGCCATATTTCGGCACTGTGACAAACGGGGACACATCACCAAGGTGTGCCAGAATAGGAGGAACCACAGCCCCCGGCGACGAGATGGCAGCCCCCGGTGATGAGACGGCAGCCCCCGGTGACGAGACGGCACCCCCCCCAGGACCAGAGACTGACACGCTGAGAGCCAGTGGAGCCAGGACGGGAGAAACAAGCAGTTCGGTGAGTCCCGGCACAAAGAAGAGACCCATCAGACAGTCATCATCGGGCACTCAACTACCCTCGACACCCAGAAAATGCATGTGGAGGTAGGCATCGAGGACCAGCCATGCAAGATGGAGGTAGATTCTGGATCCTACCTCTCCATGGTTTCCTGGTGCGCAATCAAGCGCCTGGTGCCTACCATCCACAGGCGCAAACTAGAAAACCAAAAGCTGACCCTGAAGGACTATCAGGGAAACCGCATTCCCATGGTCAGCATTGAACATTTTAAAATAACATTCAAGGGGCATGCAGAGGTGCTTCTGCTCACCATCGTGGACAAAGACCGCCCAAGCCTGCTGGGATTACAATGGTTCACACTGTTGGGGATCGAGGTGATGGGCATCAACCACGTTGCCAAGGTGGACTGGGAAGAAACACTCGTGAGGGACTTCCAGGAGGTCTTCAACGGCAACCTAGGCAAGTACCGGGGGTCCCCAATATCTTTCAACATAAACCCGAACATTGCCCGCCTTAAGCCATGGTGAGTGCCATTCACACTCAAGCCCAAAATCGATGAGCAATTGGATAACCTCATTGCGCAAGGGGTCTTAGAGCCAATAGACCATGCCCGGTGGGAAACCCCTATAGTCACCCCAATAAAGCCGGATGGGTCAGTGAGGATCTGTGGTGACTACAAGGCCACCCTCAACCATGCCCTGCAGTAGAGCGCTTACCCCATCCCAGTGGTACAGCACCTCCTGCACTCACTGGGGGGAGGCAAAGTCTTTGCAAAACTCAATCTGGCGCAGGCTTACCAGCAGCTGCCAGTGGACGCCGAGACAGCAGAGGTGCAAACCATCGTAACCCACCAGGGGGCATACCTATGCAAAAGACTCCAATTTGGACTCAACGTGGCACCACGGGTATTCCAGAGCCTGATGGAGAGACTATTACAAGGGATAAAAGGGGTGGTGCCCTACTTTGACGATGTGCTAGTGTCAGCTACAAATAAAACCCAATTAGAGAGCCGCCTAAGGGAGGTATTACAGAAATTCAAAGACACCAGGCTAAAAGTGAAAAAAGAAAAATGTCAACTTTGCACAGAGAAAGTTGAATTCCTGGGGTACCTTCTAGACAAAAACGGAATCCACCCCACAGAAAAAAAGGTTAAAGCCATCAAAGAAGGCCCTAGACCACGAAATAAAATGGAACTGCAGGCTTTTCTTGGACTTATAAATTTTTACAACGTTTTCCTGCCACAGAAGGCGACCACAGCGGAACCCCTTCATGGGCTACTGGACAAAACAGCCACCTGGGCCTGGGAGAAGTGGGAAGAAAACGCTTTCAAAAAATAAAAGACCTACTGACATCTGACGCAGTCCTCATGCAATACAGCGAGACCCTACCGTTGACCGTGACTTGCGATGCTTCACCCTTTGGTGTCGGAGCCATCCTCAGCCACACGCTGCCAGATGGGAGAGAAGCACCCATTGCCTTCTTCTCAAGGACGCTGTCCAAGCCGGAGAGAAACTACAGCCAGCTGGACAAGGAGGCCCTAGCAGTAATCACCGGCGTGAAGCGTTTCCACGAATACCTATATGGTAGGACCTTTTCAATTATTACCAACCACAAACTGCTGCTAGGGATACTGGCAGGGAACAAGGCCACCCCTAACGTACTGTCGCCAAGGATGACAAGGTGGTCCGAGTTCCTTGCCACCTACAGCTACCAACTGACACACCGACCCGGGAAGAACATCACGCATGCAGATGCATTGAGCTGCTCCCCCCTGCCTGACCTGGAGGATGACCCGGCACTCACAACATCAACACTGCACATAGAGACACTACTCAATCCACCCATGACCACATCAGACATTGCCCGAGAAACTAATAAAGACAAATGTCTGGCGCGAGTCTTGAATTGGGTGGAAAAAGGGTGGCCAGAAACCGACGGCGGCGAGCAGTTTAAAACCTTTCAAAACCGGCAGACTGAACTGTTCACGCAAAAGGGTTGCATACTTTGGGGGGACAGGGTTGTGATCCCTGAAACTTTACAAAAAAGGGTATTGACTATGTTGCATGAGGGACACCCGGGCATTGTCAAAATGAAAGCCCTGGCCAGGAGTTACGCCTGGTGGCCAGGGATGGACAAACAGATTGAAACTTGGGTGGCCTCATGCAGAAAATGTCAGGAATCCAGACCAAGCCTGCCCTCCGCCCCAATCCTGGAATGGGAGACCCCCAGGGGCCCATGGTCTAGGATCCATATAGACTTCGCCGGACCTACCAAGGGACACACATTCCTGATAACGGTCGATGCTTACTCCAACTGGCTGGAGGTGAGCGCCATGAAATCCACCACCACGGAGGCCATTATCAAGGAATTAAGCAGACTATTCACCACCCATGGCCTATCAGACGTGCTAGTGTCAGACAACGGGCCACAATTTACCACACTAGCATTCAAAAAATTCCTGGTGGAACGGGGCATATGGCATGCATTGACAGCGCCTGTCCATCCGGCGGCGAATGGGCGAGCGGAACGCATGATCCGTTACACAAAAAACGCCATAGAAAAAATCAAAACCGGCAACATACAAGACAAAATAAATAAAATGCTATTTATACAACACATAACACCCAACACAACGACCAACAAAAGCCCAGCAGAACTACTAATGGAAAGAAAATTACAGTCCCAGCTAGACAGACTGCACCCCACGTACAACCCCGAGAAACCCTCAGACTCTTCAAGCAAACACCGAACATTTAAATCAGAAGACATGGTATATGCCAAGAACTTCACAGGGGACCCGCTCTGGGTACCGGCAAAAATAACCCAGGTAATGGGCCCCCGGTCGTACCGGTTACAAACGGAGGATGGATGAAGCTGGAAGCGGCACATCGACCAACTAAGGTCAAGAACAACCACCGACAATACACAAACACCACATACAATCACTAATAAAGAAACCAGAGGGGGGGGGGGAACCGCAAGCAATAAACAAAGAGGGGAAGAAAATTCTAAAACACAAACTGAACAACCCCAAATCAAAATAAACCAACAATACTCACCGGCAGACAACGACCCCTCAGCAGATGAACAACTGGGAGCTTCACCTGGAAGGAGCAGCCAAGCCAGTTCAACCAGCCCAGAAAGACCAGGTGGGAACAGCGGAACCGGCAGTTCAACCAACCCGGGTAGACCGGGTGGGAGCTACCACAGTAGGCCTGGCTCACCCTTTCAGGTGGTTCCATCAAGAAGGACAAGGGCAACAGAGAGTCCATCCGAACTGGTCGAAGACCAAACAACAACTGAGCTGCGCAGGTCAAATAGGCAGGTACGGAGCCTCGCCTACCTGCGGGACTACGTAACCACGACCCATAGGACTGAACCAAGAGGGGAGGGGTGTTCTGTATTAACATACTCCAAAAGGTAAATTCTGATTGGTCCATACGAATTGCATTCTGATTGGCCGACTCAACAACTGTGATTGGCTTACTTAGAATCAACCACGATTGGCTGAGCCGATCACGGGAGATTCAAAGTACTGTCATTGGCCGGCGAGCCACGAGCAGTCCCTATATGAAGGGCTGCCGCGACTCCAAGATCTTGTACAGATCTTAACATAAAATAAAGAGCTTGAAGTACACTGGTCTTGCGTCTCCTTTGTACCCGAAGAAGATACTTCAATGCAGAATGTTTGGGATACAATGAAGGCATATGCTAGAGGCTTGATAATAGACTACATAAGAAAAAAGAATATTAGGAAAAGGCAAGCCACTAAAGCCTTGGAAGATGAGTATAAAAGACTTGAAAAAGAACTACAGAAAATGCCACAGAAAAAAGATATTAAACTGAAATTGGACATAACTAAACATAAAATGGGCTTAATAGAGAAAGAAGAACTGGCACAGAAAATTAGGAATGCTAAACAGAATTATTTTGAAGATGCAAATAAGCCAGGTAGATGGCTAGCATATAAATTGAGAAAGGAGAAAGAGTCAAGGAAAATATCACAGTTAATAGATGACCAAGGCCAAATTTGTTATGGTAATAAGGAGAAAAAGGAAATTATTCGAGATTTCTATGGACAACTATACAAGAAAGAGAATATTGATGAGGAAAAAGTCAAACAGTACTTACAGAATGCAAACTTACCTAAGATATCCAAAGAGACTGAAGAAATGTTAGAAAGTAATATAACAATGAGGGAATTAAGTCAAGCACTTAAGAAACAAAATAATGGGAAAGCACCAGGTCCGGATGGGTTTCTGGCAGAATTTTACAAAATATTACAAGAATCATTGAGCATTCCATTATTAGAAGTCATGAATGAAGCTATGTCAAAGAAGATGATACCTAAAACATTGTCAGAGGCTTACATTACACTTATTCCAAAAGAAGAGGCTGATCCACTGCAAATTAAGAACTATAGACCGATTTCTTTATTAAATGCAGACTATAAAATGTCCCCTTTCTCCTTTGCTATTTGTATTGACTCTGGAAGTGTTGAATAGAAATATTAGAGAAGATAAAAGTATAAAAGGAATGAAAATTTAAAAGGAGGAATTTAAATTGCAAGCTTTTGCGGATGACTTAGCCTTTATTTTGGAAGATCCCTTAGAAACAGCTCCGAAGCTATTGGAAAAGATAGAGACATATGGTGAGGTGGCTGGTTTGAAAATAAATAAAGATAAAACAAAGATTTTGTCAAAGAACATGTTACTAAGACAAAGAGAAGAATTGGCAGACCTGTTGAAAATCCAAGTTACGAACAAGGTTAAGTATTTGGGGATATATTTGACATCAAGATGTAGTACATTAAAAGAGAATAATTATATTAAACTTAAACAACAGATAGCCTTAGATTTGAAGAAATGGGAAAATTTACAACTGTCATTAATAGGGAGGATTTCAACAATCAAGATGAATATTTTACCCAGAATCTTATTTTTGTTTCAAACAATACCAATTAGGCTCGGAAAAGACTATTTTGAGGACTTAAATAAAATTGTGTTGAAGTATATATGGCAAGGTAAGAAAGCGAGGATAAAGCTAAAGCTTTTGCAAGATGCTAGAACTAGAGGAGGTTTTGGCCTGCCTAATTAGGAGCTGTACTACCAAGCTGCAAACTTGATGTGGGTTAAGGAATGGATAACATTAAGAAAGGCTAGATTGTTGACACTAGAAGGCCATGATTTGTTGTTGGGTTGGCATGCTTTTTTATGGTATAAGGGAACCAAAACACAGGGTTACTTTCGAAGACATTATATACGGGAGTCTTTGTGGTTAAACTGGGAGAAGATAAAAAAACAATGTTATCTGAAAATTCCAGTTTGGTTATCGACGATAGAAGCATTTTCTTATCCTATAATCTATAAGAAGGAACAAACAGTTAGATATGGGGAATTATTAGATGAAAAGGGTGAACTTAAATCGATACAAAATTTAGAGGAACAAGGTATAAAAATGAATTGGTTTTCATATGTGCAAATACACTCAAGGTATGATGAAGATTCCAAAACAGAGGGATTTTATGATAAACAGACTGATTTAGATAAGATCTTGACAGGTACTGATGAAAAGGTGATTAAAAAACTATATGGTTATTTATTGGGAATTAAGCTAGAGGAAGAACAAGTTAAAGAAACTATGATTGCTTGGGGGAGGAATTTTGGATATGGGATTGATTTAGAGAAATGGCAGAAACTATGGTCGCAAAATTATAAAATGACAATGTCTACAGCTTATAAAGAAAATCTGTATAAGATGTTTTACAGGTGGCATTTTCCCCTGACAAGGATAGCAAGAATGTTCAAGAATAAATCTGAAAAATGCTGGAAATGTCATCAGATACCTGGCTCATATTACCATATGTGGTGGACCTGTGAGGATGCTAGAAAATACTGGACTAAAATCCGCATGTGGTTGGAAAAAATGACAAAGAAAGATATAGATTTGAAACCGGGAATCATACCAGATGTATACAGTAAAGACTTGAAATATCTGATTGTAAATGTATTAACTACGGCTAGGATTGTATTTGCTAAAAATTGGAAAAATGAGAAAATTCCATTGCAGGAAGAAATTATTAAGAAAATATTGGAATGTGCTGAGATGAGTAGATTGACATTTGAAATTAGAGAGCAAGAAGATAAACAATTTTATAAAATTTGGGACCTTTTCTATCAATGGTTGGACGATGAAATACAATAATAGAATATCTAGAATGTTAGATAATAAGGAATATCTTTGTTTTTTCTTTTTCTTTTGTTATTTGACACCACATCTATAAAGTGTTTTTTTAAGATAGAATTGGTATGATTATATGATTTGTTATAGAATAAATTACTTAAATTATAGTTATCTCATAAAGTATGAATGAATAAAAGTATAGTCAAATGATTTTCTTTAATAATGATATGAGGATATATAAGTTTGGATTGATAATAACATAACTGTAATTGAGACTACGAAATGAATGCACAAAATTGATGAACCAACCGACACACTGTTTGTATAGTATGGAAGAGATCTGATGCTTTTATGTTTTGTTTGTTTGTTAAAAAACCAATAAAATTGTTTTCAAAAAAAAAAAAAGAAGGACGAGGGCAACGGAGAGTCCATCCGAACTGGTCGAAGACCAAACAACAACTGAGCTGCGCAGGTCAAATAGGCAGGTACGGAGCCTCGCTTACCTGCGGGACTACGTAACCACGTCCCATAGGACTGTACCAAGAGGGGAGGGTGTTCTGTATTAACATACTCCAAAAGGTAAATTCTGATTGGTCCACACGAATTGCATTCTGATTGGCCGACTCAACAACTGTGATTGGCTTGCTTAGAATCAACCACGATTGGCCGAGCCGATCGCGGGAGATTCAAAGTACTGTCATTGGCCGGCGAGCCACGAGCAGTCCCCATATGAAGGGCTGCCGCGACTCCAAGATCTTGTACAGATCTTAACATAAAATAAAGAGCTTGAAGTACACTGGTCTGGCATCTCCTTTGTACCCAATCTAACACAGTCCTCAATGGAAGGCAGGGTGGTAGTAATGT